GAGGTTGATGTGAGCTAGGCTGATGCCATGACACTCACTCTAGCCTGGGCAAAAAAAAAAAAAAATTAAAAAAAAAAAAGAGTTAGTGTACACAAAAAACATAAAACCATTGTCTAGGTACATTATATTTATGTTTTTGACAAACATCCTTGGGTGCTTCTTTCCATAGACCAATATGGGCCATGCGCAGTGGCTCGAGCCTGTAATCCTAGCACTCTGGGAGGCTGAGGTGGGAGGGTTGCTTGAGCTCAGGAATTCAAGACCAGCCTGAGCAAGAGTGAGACCCTGTCACTACCAAAAAGAAAAAGAAAAAAAAAAAAGACCAATATATGAAACTACTACCATAGATATTTAATTTGTACATTATGATAATGCTGCCCTGTAATTACTCTGATTGTTTCATGTGCTTGCTTTGTCTTTGAATCTGAATTGCAAAGGGTATTTCTTCTACCTGCTCACCATAACAGAATATCTAGACCATGCATTCAGTGGGTGCTTAATAAATCTAATAGGGAGAAGTCACAGAGATTGAAGGTCTTTGGAGAGGACCTAGCCCAACCTCCTCTGTTTTCAGATTTGGAAGTTGGAAACATAGGGACACATATTCTGAGGCTGGTGACAAATCAAATACTTATGGATATCCTCTCCCAAGGCTCTTATTGAAACAGAGTAACAATACAATTTTGAACTTTCAAGAATTCACTCAGCACACATTCACAATGTATGTATCACTGCATTAGGTCAGCATTGTGGGAACACCAAGAAGACACTTGCCCTGGTCTCAGGAAGATTATAGACTACTAGAGGAGATCAGGTGTGAACTAATAAGGGTAGAACATGCATGAGGCCATAAGAAATCTAGAAAATGATCCAGGAGTTCAGAGAGAAAAGGTTTTCATGTCTGGAAAGTCAGTTCTTCAGAAAAGTACCAGTCATGGTGGATTCAATAGTGGCACAAATAAGTTTAAAAGCTTTTGAAAGGGTGCAAGCTTTTCCTAAATCTTGAATCTTGCCAATAAATGAGTAACAAGAACAGAAGGTGTCCCAAGCAATCACACAAAGAAGTCTATTAGGAAAAAGTTAAGCATCTTTAAGTGAGCAGGACCACAAATAGACAACAATAGAAAGTGAGGAGTAGAGAACAATGCGTTTGCTTGATAAGATAGAGAGGAGATATGGAAAGGAGACACATTCTTCTCTCCACCCTCACAAAGAGTAGCAAAGTATGAGGGAGGAAAAGCCCGAACACATCTTTCAATCCTGGGAAACATGCCCCCCGCAACTGGTCACAGCCTCCCTCTTGAACAATGACGCAATTAGAGGTTGCATTCCTGATAAAAAAAATTCAGAAAATGAATAAAAGCTTTGACCAACAATGCCACAGACACAAGGACACACCATAATCTTCTAAAAACTTTTTTTAAATGGGGAGAAATGTATCATATGCCTTCCCTGTGGGAAGGATCCCAGTGGATACACAGAATCAAAGTTTACAAAGTAAATGTGAGACTTTAAATATTAACTCCCTTGTTTTTTGTAGAATTTGTTTCTAAACATTTTCATTATTTTTATTTGTGTCAATATTACATGGGCACAGAGTTTCAAGAATCACTGAGTCTGTTGCAAAAAACAGAAGTCCCATTGTCTTCCTCTCCTCATCCCTTTCTTGTGTGCTAATACCATCTTAAAAATCCCTTTGCTCTTGTCTTCCCAGGGTTTCAGAAGAAAATAACATATATATTAATATACTACCACTACCTGAAAGCCATTTTCTCATAATTTAGAAGGGACATGGAAGATAAATTAGATGGCTGATATTAAAAACCTGATATTTTCTCAATAGTGAACAAAACATTTAAAATCATCCTCTGACCATACACAAATCTGGGGTCACTCCTAACAAAATCCCAGTATTATGTCATCTAAGCATTTGAAGGACTTGTTATGACTTTACTTTTGAGTGTGGGGAGCAGAATTTGAATCCTGTATTATTCTCTATCTTTGCCCTTAACCTTCTCTTCTATACTCTCATCAATAAATCAGTGTTGAAGGGGGAGTCTCACAAGGTGTACCTGAGAGGAAAAAATTACAGACTAGATGGATATTCAGTCTTAAGACTATTTCACAGGTTGGGGGTGGGCAGGGAGAAGAGTCACTTCCTTGGTTATTCTTTTGCCTTCAGAGTCACAACTAAAGGACCAGCAACAAAGCTCTATAGTTGATTAAGAAGATAAAGGCCCCAAAATACAGGTGACTTAATTCTGCACTGCTAAGTGAATGAAATGTGAAATGCTTGCTGATGAAAACAAACTTTTCTACCACCAAGGAATTTCCTTGGCTATCATTTCATAAACATAAATAAGCTTGAACTTTGGTCACATCTGGAGTTTGACCTAATTATACCTTTAGTGTTATGTGCTGGCTAATTATAGATTGAGCATCCCTAATCTGAAAATCTAAAATCCAAAATACTCCAAAATCTGGAAACTTTTCGAGCACTGACATTCCTCTTCACTCTTTTTCCTTCCCTTTCCTCTCTCCCAATCTCTCTCTCTCTTTCTAAGAAGATAAAACAAATTTTATACTTTTATATCCTCATCTCAGCATTAAAAATTTTTCTCCATTCATGCCAAGTGGAAAATTCCACACCTGACATCATGTGATGGGTTGAAGTCAAAACACAATCAAAACCTTGTTTCACGGCCAGGTGTGGTGGCTCACGCCTGTAATCCTTGCACTCTGGGAGGCCGAGGCGGGAAGATCGCTCAAGGTCAGGAGTTCGAAACCAGCCTGAGCAACAGCGAGACCCCATCTCTACTAAAAATAGAAAGACATTAATTGGCCAACTAAAAATATATAGAAAAAAACAGCCGGGCATGGTGGTGCATGCCTATAGTCCCAGCTACTTGGGAGGCTGAGGCAGGAGGATCACTTGAGCCCAGGGGTTTGAGGTTGCTGTGAGCTAGGCTGACACGATGGCACTGTAGGCTGGGCAACAGAGTGAGACTCTGTCTCAAAAAAAGGAAAAAAACAAAAACCTTGTGTCATGCACAAAAGTATTAAAAATATTGTATAAAATTACTTTCAGGATATGTGTATAAGGCACATATGAAACATAAATGAATTTTATGTTTAGACTTGGGTCCCATCCCCAAGGTATCTCATTATGTATATGCAAATATTCCAAAATCCAAAAAATTCAAAATCAAAAACATTTGTGGTCCCAAGCATTTTGGATAAAGGATATTCAACATATCAGAAGGGACACAAAATATCAGACAGGAGGAGGTTTACAGGGTGAAAACCAAAACTTGAAGCGAGTTTATTTCAACTAGTGGTGAACAAAACCTTCATTTCAAATATTTACCTTTCATGAAAATTAAGCCTTGAATGAGAGTTTAGTCACACAAATATAGTGCTGGGCTCCTGACAGTGGTTTTTGTATCATCTTGGTTGGGTACATTGAATTAAAAAGTGAAAACTGGCTAGGTATAGGGGCTCATGCCTGTAATCTCAGCACTTTGGGAGGTACTTTGGGAAGTTGAGGCAGGAAGATCACTTGAGGCCAGGAGTTTGAGATCAGACTGGGTAACACAGTAAGACCCCATCTCTACAAAAATAAAAAATAAAAAAAAAATAGCCAGGCATGGTGGCACGTGCCTATAGTCCCAGCTACACAGGAGGCTGAGGCAGGAGAATCACTTGAGCCCAGGAGTTAGAGGCCGCAGTGAGCTGGTGAAAACTTTAAGACTCATGGTAACTCATTCAGTTTATATAATAAGTATGAATATTGCTGGTCACAAAGAAAAGTGTTCTCTATATGTTAAGACTTTCCCAAAAGATGAGTGCAAAGTGCATTCATTAAGACAAGAACACAATCTTTGTCTATTTTTTTCCTGAATTCAAGGATTCTGAATTATATCTTTACACTAATAAAAATCAGTAATACTACATGGTCTAATTTTAACTGTCACTGATTGCCTATTAACCTCAAGCAAGTCACATTTTTCCAGCTATGTATGTTAACACAGGCATTTTGCCTATATTGTGAATTTTCTTTAGGCTATTTGCATATAACACCATTGATCTGTTAGGGTAAATGCTTTCCATCATATGGGCCACGGTTCGGCAGGATCCAGCATTGCATTTAGGACAAAAGCTGCTGACCTGGTTGCTCAGGGACCTGTACTCCATGGCCCTAGGTTCTTCTAAGTATTAATATTGTTTTGATTTTGCCACAAAGTGTGATAAAAGTCATAAGACTGCTTTAAGCATTCTTTAGGGCCCTGGTCACTTTTTTCCCATCGAAGCAACTGCTTTTAAATCTTGATTTTTGGCAAAGCCATCCTTCTTAAGAATCCAACTACATTCCATACCACATTTATCTCTTCAGAGGAGCTTAAATCACTCTGTATAGTAGAGAATGTTCCCTCCAAAGTCTCTAAAGTTATTCAAATAGAACTATGTTGATTAAGTCACAGATAAATTGGATGGAGAGTCATAGTTTTTATTACAAGGAGAAATGGTCAGAAGAGATGGAATGAAAAATACAAAAATAATAGAGAGTATTACCTTGGGACAAAGAAGACCAGAGTACAAATGTACTGAGGCCAGGAATAAGCCTAGGGAGGAAAGATATAAAATAGCACTTTGAAAAGTATAAAGAGCTAGAGAAACGCAAGATATTAAAGTATGCATATTTTATATTCCCTACAGTTCAGGATGCATGGAAGGCATACAAAAAGTGTTAAGGCGGCACTGGATACAAACAACCATGAAAGGAAAAGATCTTTGAGCCACCGTCCATCAATTGAAAATAGTTTAAAGGGCAACTGGGCTGTCCTAGTTGGGAGGTGATTCCCCTGCTGTACTAAACATAGATCAGACACCACTAGCAGGTGGCTCTATGATGCCTAAGCACACAACCTCACAGAGGAGTTAAGATGTTTTAATGCAAATGTTTCAATACTGACTAACGGGTTAAAAATGGGAGATAATACCTTACAGTGAGGAGGCACTCAAACACCTATTGATTAACGATCTCCAGGGCATGCTGTGGTGTAGGCCATTTCTTCTTAATCTTCTCTAGATCAGGAGATCTCAGGAAGAAACACCTGGCATTTCTACTTTCCAGAGGTGATGTAGGAAGCCAAGCCAAATGAAGAAAGCCTGAAATAATAATAGCATATTTATGAGATATGATGTAGGCACAATTTCAATATATTTGGATGATTGGTACAGTAACACAAAAATACTTTAGCATAAAAGGAAATGATCCCCCTGTTGTACCAAACACAGATCAGACACTACTAGGAGGCGGCTCTGTGACGCCTAACCACACAACTACACAGAGGAGTTAAGATGTTTTAAAGCAATATACAGCAGGGGAATCATAAAAGACTTCTGGGTGACCATGGGGATCATTCTAGGGACAAATTTGCTTCAGCTCATTAATCTGGTAACAATGGTGGCACTGTTCCTGCCATTTTGGCTCTATTAAATGTATTTATTAATAACACTAATATGTGTGTGTCTATTTGTGTATTGCTATCTTCCCAACTGCTGTCCATTCTGGAAGGTCAACAATTAGGAATTAAACTGATAATTTAAGAATACAAAGACTTACAGTTTCCAAATCTGATTAAAATTTGTAAATTCTAAATTCTCTTTCACATACTGTTCCCCTGCCATCCTTCCTGGCTGGCTGACAAGTTAAAAGAGGCTCCTGTTGATTCCACCAGTGCTGGGAATAGAGTTCAATGAGTTGTGCATTCAGGGGCCACACAGGAGGGGAATACAAGCCATACATACAGAGAACCCATACACACAACCACATCCCCATTCATCTACTGGCAGAGGACACATACTACTTCATTATGAATCTCTCGCTAGTATGCAAGAACCGGAAGATCTATACAACTAGGAGGTGATAGCCACAACAAGGGAGTCACTGTTACTGTTTTCTTTTGTATGTCTTTTAATCATTGTCAAGCAAACTGTATTACTTACACATTTTGTTCTTTGTGTTGGTTATTAAAGCATCATTTCTAAGCTTCAGGGCTACTCTACTTTGTGCTGTGGGATCTGGACTCTGCAGACAGCCAGCTGATACTGCCCTGAGAATAGTTAACAATTGTCTTTAACACACACACACACACACACACACACACACAAACACACGATGCATGTACACAGAAACATGTGCCACAAAACACAAACACACACACACGCCATGCACACAGGCACCAGATACACTTAAACTGTCACTCAATGATATCAGACAATTTTTTTAACTTGGATTTTAATTATGTACATAAATAGCAACATGAGAATGAGGAGTTCTAAGGCTTGTACATTATCACCAGGTGAAAAAATTTCAGATTAGTTTGCTTGTAGGATGGTATCACCCAAGAAAACAGAGGCCTAGTATAGTTTTTCCTGAAGAAGAAAGCCAGTTTAATACATTCAATACTGACTTCTCTGCCATTTTTCTGTAGAAATATTGATTTACTGTATGGAGTTTCCAATGTTTACCTATAACTAAAGGAAAGAAAAGAAAAACGTAAGTAAACGGTGTCAGAAAAAAATAAAAACTCCAAAATTTTACCTTTTGAAAATTCTTTTGATTTAAATACAGAATCGTAAGCCAGAGAAAACTAATTATTCCTACTTTACAGATAGTTAAACTAAAAATCAGAAAGGTTTTGTGTTCTCCAATAGTACATTCAGATTCTCAACTGGCTGTGCATCTGAGCATAATGAAATAGATGAATGGATGAATAAATAAAAAATAAATGCCTAAGTGACATAGCACACACCACATCTCTTCCCCTCTGAAGATCACACAACTATATTTCCAGCTATCTGCTGGAGAAGAGCATGATTATATCACACTCAGCCTATTGTGTACCTTTTCTCATATCATCCCCATCATTCTTTTCTGGAATGAAACACACATAAATTCACAGACACACCAAAGACAAACCGAGTCTTCTCCAGATTGTTTTCCTAATATGTAATGAATAACTTAGCAATTAAGGTTTCTAAATATTTTAGAGGCCAGTGACGACTCACTTGATCTTTTAATATAAAAAATTCTTAACCATGTAAATCACTAACTTATCTTTTCTATTTCAGTTTATTAATCTGTCTTTGGCTTCTCTAAGAATTTGATAGATTTATTGTACTGTTAAAAACTAAAAACTAGAAACGACCTATGTTAATAAGGAGTAAGTAAACCATGGTAGTCCATATTAGGAAATCATTAAGCAAATAAAAAAGGAATGAGGTAGATCTATAAGTACCAACAGGGTAAGATGTACACAATATAGTAAGTGAAAAAAGCACATTAATTAATTAATTCATTCAACATAGCTAAACATAGTGCCATGAAATATTCTTTACAAAAAATTCAATCTAAATCTGATTAAGCCTTCAGGTCCAACTGTTTATGGGAAATACAGAGAAGAAAGGAACCAAGCGATAAACTGGCTCATGCCTGTAATCCTAGCACTTTGGGAGGCCGAGGCGGGAGGATTGCTTGAGCTCAAGAGTTTGAGACCACTCTGAACAAGAGCGAGATTCCATCTCTATTATAAATAGAAAGAAATTAGCCAAACAACTAAAAATAGAAAAAAATTAGCAGGGCATGGTGGCACGTGCCTGTAGCCCTAGCTACTCGGGAGGCTGAGGCAGAAGGACAGCTTCAGCCCAGGAGTTGGAGGTTGCTGTGAGCTAGGCTGATGCCACGGCACTCAAGCCCAGGCAACAGAGTGAGACTATGTCTCAAAAAAAACAAAAAACAAACAAACAAAAAAAAAAGATAAAAAAAGCAACACTAAATAGATGCATGCAGCCATGGCCAGAACATGGGAAATTCTTTTCTTTTTTCCCCCAGCTCAATCCCAGTAGAACATGGGAAATTCTAATGGACAAATAAGACAAGCTTTTCAATAAACAAATGGCAAGGGACAATGAGGGAGAGGGAACTATTACAGTTTAAAAGAGACTTAAGAGATCTATCAGTCAAACACAACAAGCAGATCTTGTTTGGATCCTGGTTCAAACAAAACAACTATAAAAAGTTATTAATGGTTGGCTGGGTGCAGTGGCTCACGCCTGTAATCCCTAGCACTCTGGGAGGCCGAGGTGGGAGGATCACTCAAGGTCAGGAGTTCGAAACCAGCCTGAGCAACAGCGAGACCCCATCTCTACTATAAATAGAAAGAAATTAATTGGCCAACTAATTTATATAGAAAAAAATTAGCCGGGCATACTGGGGAGGCTGAGGCAGGAGGATCGCTTGAGCCCAGGAGTTTGAGGTTGCTGTGAGCTAGGCTGATGCCACGGCACTCACTCTAGCCTGGGCAACAAGGTGAGACTCTGTCTCAAAAAAAAAAAAAAAAAAGTTATTAATGGGACAATCAGGGAAATATGTACGTTGACTGGATATTACACATATTAAGGAATTAGCGTTAATTTTATTAGGTGTCATAATAAAATTATGATTGTGCCTTCAGAAAGTTTTCTGTGTACTTGCAGAACAATATGGGGAATATGATCCCATTTTGTCAAAAAACCAAAATATGCATGTATGTATGGAGATATATGTTTGTGTATATATGTATATATAAATTAAAAAGCCTGAAATGGCTGGGCACAGTAGCTCATGCCTATAATCCTAGAACTTTGAGAGGCCAAGGAGGAAGCATAGCTTGAGGCCAGGAGTTTGAGACCAGCCTGGGCAATATAGTGAGACTCTGTCTCAAAACAAAAAACAAAAAAACCCCGCTAGAATGATATATCAAACTATTAACAAAAATTACCTCTGGGAAAGGAATAAAGAATAAGATAAGCTTTTAAAATATTTATCTAAAAAATTTTTGTTACAACCAACATGTATCACTTTTATAACTGTACCTCCTTAAAAAAAATGAAATCAAGGTTATATATACAGCAAGCTGAACTCTGGTCCAGAATATCTTTGAAAACTGAAATGGATATTTACCTAGTTTCCCTTTATTCTATGTCTTATTCATTGTCCCTGTAGAGAAATACAACCATATTCAATGTAAAGTCTCTAGGTCAGGGGTCCTCAAACTTTTTAAACGGGGCCAGTTCACTGTCCCTCAGACTGTTGGAGGGCTGTTGGAGGTGCGGCACATTCCACACATGCGCACTGTGGGCCCGGGATGAGTCAGCTGCTAAGCAGGACAGGCAGTGGCAGCAAAAACACCCGGTGCAAAAACACCCGGTGCAAAAACACCCGGCAGGCTGGATAAATGTCCTCCGCGGGCTGCATGTGGCCCACGGGCCATAGTTTGAGGACGCCTGCTCTAGAGGATATGTGTGGCTCTCTGGTTGTGTACCCTCTATTTGCCACCCCCCCACCCCTGTTCTAATGGCACATGCCATGCACATCTGGCCCCATTTCCCAGAGAAACTGAGTCTGGGATGGGGCCTAGGCTTCTGCCTTTTAACAAGTTCCCCTGTAAGTTGTATCTAAGATCTACTGGCTTTGGGTTAGTGTATGAAGGGCTGTGATGTAAAAGAGGAACTGGATTTGTTTTCTGTGACCACAGTGTAGGAGTCACAAAGAGACATATTTTTTGCTTAGGAGAAAAACAGCTTCCTAAAAATCAGAACTGCCCAAAGATGGCTGTCCCATGGGGTGAGTTTCCTATCAGTGGTGGTATAAAAGGAGGAAGATACAGGGCTACAGGGGAGTCTGCTTGAGGCTGGGCCAGCTGACTTCTCTCAAATTCTAAGTTTATATGACTCTCTGGGTCTCTAAAAATATGAAGAAAGCATGAGAAAGAAAAACTTCAAACCCAGGGTTTTCATGAATTTTAAATAGCAGCCATGATTTACAATAAATGTAACTGAATTTTTAAAAAGTTTCTGATTATTAAATAAAATTCATATTCCTTGTAGAAAATTTTTAAAAATACCGAAAACTAAAATGTAAATATTATCTTACTACTGAACGATCCTTAAATTTTCTGTTGTATCTCCTAGTCTTTACCCCTTCGAAAAATGTATCACACTACCTTTTTTTTCACTTAACAATAATTGTGCACATGTTCCCATGTAATTAAATATTGTTGAAATAGAATAATATTCCTCTTTATGGATATACCATAATTAAACAATTTTCCTATAGTTGAATATCTAGGTTGTTTCCAAAATCAATATAATCTTCTAATTACCAGGAAATCACAAGTGCTCTTATACAATTTTTAATATATACACAAAATATTATCAATATAACTACTGTTTTTGTACTTGGCAGGTGCTCAATGAGTAAATACTGAACAAAGGAAAATAAATTGTGATTACCAGAAAAAATCTCATTGATTTTCTGACTTTATCTGATATCTCACATTGCTCTAGCCTCGGGTTATTCAATCTTTAAAGAAGGAACAATTAACTCGAGGGGGGGAGCATGAACAATATATGTAACCTTAACACTTGTACCCCCATAATACGCTAAAATAAAAAAAAGGAACAATTACACCTAATAAACAAGGAATTCCCTATATCACTTAAGGTAATATTGCTATATAATCTTGAGCTTCTCTAAAATAGTCATGTATTCAACAAGTGTTTATGGAGTATTAGATGAATATAAGTGTGCTTCCTATAATAAAATGTTGTTTGGAAAAAAAATAAACTTAATAACGGTACTTTTCAATTGTTTGAAATAGATTTGTAGACAAATCCCAACTGTCTAGTTCTAGCTTATCTAAAAAACCCAGGTAACATCACTGGAACAAACACAAGTAAATAAACATGGCACTTAAGTCCAGAAATTAAAGATGGAATAAAAATGACCCTTCCTTATGTTTCCACATCAAGTTGAACTGCTGTAATTAATTTAATTAAATTAACTAAAGACAAGTCATTTCAGCTAGCACTAATAATGCTGAAAATAACCACAGTGTTTTATTGTTCTTTACCTGATTAATATGGGCAGAGCATGGAGTTTTCTACTTATTTCCAGGTGAATTCTTCACATTTCCTGGCTTGTAAAACAAAAGTAAGAACTTTAATGCAGTTTGAAAAGAAGGGCTGAACACAAACATTAAATATTATTATTTTGGCAAGGGGACAAGCCATTTTATTGAGGGCTTGGGGGGTGTCGAAGAAAGGCTGAGGGCAATGAGATCCCATGT